GTAAGTGGAGGCTCCTTTTGTAGAATTCAAACATCGTTAACTGATAATAATTTGAATAATTGCATTTTATCAAAGCCTTATGCCATCCAAAGTCTGGCTATCCTACATGAAACTAAAGTGATATGCCACAATCAGTTCTTCTATCACATAGCTCACTATGTCGTGTCAAATAACGCCACGTACAAGGCCAAGATGTCAGCTGAGGAATGAGGAGCTTTGAGCATACTTGTGATGCTCAGTCTATGTGTTTCGTCTGACACCATACACCACGACAAGCTTTTGGTACTCTTGTGCTGTTCAGCGTGAGTATGGCTAATGAAACCTTCGTCCATAAGATGCTTTGAGTTCTCTTGTTCTTCTCAGTCTGAGTATTTCATCTCACGCCATCGACCACGATAAGCTTTGTGTATTCGTGTGTTGCTAAGTTTGTTTTGAGATTAATCGAGGGAAGCTTCTCCTGATCTTCAAGCTGCAAGTAGGAACTGAAAGAAGTAACTGCACGTCGTTCACCCTTTTCTACTGGCCGATCACAACCATAGACGCAGTGGATCCAACTTACGTTGTCTCTCACATCCAGACCACTGTCTCCTTCCCATGGTTTCTCCACATAACAAGTATTCCTTTGTAAATGGCATACACATTGCTGACAATTAATTACTAATCTTTCTATCTGTCTGATCATTTAACCGGACAAAAACCTGTACAAAGAACATCAACTGATGGATGACGGAGCAGATGCTGAAATTTGATTGACAAGAAAAGGTTAATGCTTTTTTGGAATGGTCACCGGATGAAAACAGAGACTGGTGGTGAAATGAATTTCGGGAGTGCCATCATTAAGTTATCATAGTCTCTCAAGAGGGAGTGTATTTAGGTAGTGTATTGATGACCTCTGCAACTTTCATCTCGTTCCATTTGCACTATCCGCAATTTTATCATATTAGCCACAACCTACACACGTATTTGGACTCTTTTTCTCAAAGAATACACACACTTAGTTGATGTTTTTCTAAAAGGCTTTAAAGTCTTACCGAAGAAGATCCAGAGACTGCAAACATTTCAGAACACTTTGTCCCATATATATATCTTTTAAACGCTTGAACATAAACACGAAACCCCCAGTTCTGAAAGCCTTATAACGACTGCCTGTCACAGCCAATGTAGAAATCTGTTTGACTTTCATTGCCTGATTAGAATTCATCCCCACTACTTTAATGAGCTCATCAACCCATACATTCAACCCAAAGCCTTTGAAACGTAAATAACATTCACTTCTGTAGCAGCTACATTTAGGAATTCTTTCCTGCTAACATCATTACACCAATGTCTCCCTTCCCGATATCTTATTTTTGTTTTCCATTAATAAATGATATATTTTGATACCTTCACATTGTGAATATGTCGTCCAAGTGTTTCCGATCTAGTAGCTGTTTTGATGTTACATTTTGCAGACGATGCCATTGTAGTGTCAGGTAATTATTGTTAGACGACAAACAACGCTGAGAGAAGTATGATTATTTGATGGTTAGTTAAATTTGGTTTGCACACGAAATGAACTTGAAATCCTGTGCCAAAGATGCATCAATGCGTGCAACGAAAGTTTTTATAAGTGTCAATATCCATGCAGTTGGAACACTGTTACCTACTATAGTCTTTGGGCTCTGTGATACTCAGATACAATCATTGGCTATATGACTGTGGGCAGTGGGGATATCCACATTAGGAGATGGTTCACTTATTAGCATGTAAAATATTCCTGTATGTATTGTTAATGGTGATGTTAATTATCAGATTAGATGTTTAAGATATTGGTTTGAAATCCTTCATATGCATCACCAACGTCGTCCTAACTTAGCCTACATCATGCTTTTACATTTAGGTAGCAAACGAAACAAACCACAATACTTCACAAGGATGAACAACGTCTCATCAAATTAGCCTTCACAATAGTTTTACATTTAGATGACATGGGAAAGAACAAAAGGCCATTGTATAATATAAACGGTCTTTTTTCACATGGTATGCTCATGACAGTAAGTTGGATGGAAATGTAGAGATGTTTTCTGACAATAATTTAGAAATCGACATATACATATGTACTACTAAGAATGGCATTCTACTTCAAAAGATAGTTCACGGTGTAAATATACTATTCCAAAAAGAAACGCATAACCCAGAAATATACTCAGCACGAATTCAAAATTAGATAGGCACTGTAATCAAATCATTACAGAAATGGACATAATAAGCGGATCAAGAACATTTTTTTTGTGTACAATATCTTGACACATCAATGCATAAGTCAGCACAATTTCAAGACATCACGTGAACGTTTGCAATCCATTCAGACTCTTGACTTCTGTATCTAGTGTGACCACCACGAGCGGCAATAACTGCAGCACAGCTTCTATGCATGGAGTGCACCAATCGATTGATGAAGGCCATTGGCACGTGGAACCACACTCTGAGAAAGGCCTGTTCCACCCCATACCATGATGCTTGCACATCCCCATGAGTCTCTTTCCATAACACATTGGTCTGAGTAACGCTGGCCACGTCGTAGCCATATTCTTGTTCTGCCATCTGCAGCTGATACGCAGTCGCGGCATCCTGCTGACGTTGTAATGTGAATGTTTCAACCAGATTTGGGGTCGCATTTTATAGTGCTGGTCCTTGTGAACAGCACGTGCAGCATGAGTTGCATGGAAAACATGGAGAACACCGTACCATCTATGGGATCAGATTGCATTTGTGTGAAAATTTCCTGTGTTCCATTCTGAGTTTGGGAAGAAATGTCTTTGCTCAGGTAAAGTTGGAGATGTGGTAAAAAATATACAATCAAAACATTACAGTTATCCGTTTCTGCGAAGGAAAATTCCAAACTGACGTTTCTTTTGCTGCTTAGTATATGTTGCGAAAATGTTGTATTTTTAAACATGTATAACTCGTCCACAAATAGAGTTTAGTACATGAATTTTTCCATCAGGTTAGAAGAAGGTAATGACTATACAAACAAGTGGAAATGTAATACCCGGATGTACCGATATGGGCTGCACTGGTCACTCGAGGTGTGCTTGTACGGGGCGGTCATTTGTTATACCTGCTTGGTTGTAACGAGCTGCAGGCAGTGATATCGTGCTCAGACTAACATTCAGACGGCTGGCAACAAATGATTCATAATCTCCAGCGTGCATTCGTTCAATTGTGTAAATTCATGTTATCAACACTTTCATTACATACATGTAGTTTGACGATTGTGTGAACACAATAGGTAATTAATAGATTTTCGAAAAAACAAAATGCCTATGCTTTTCTTTTTGGGATAGTATATTACAAAACGTTCAAGACCCTACTCCAACCAGAAATTTAATTATCAGTACTCAAGACGGAAACCTTATGGAACCTTATAGTTCAATATCAGGTTGGTCTATTTGTTTTTAAATGAAGACGAAGGCTGTCCGTTGAAAAATCGAAATATATTTGCCAATTATGCAATATGAAAACAAAACGAAAGTGTAAGTCACTTTGTTTTTGTCTGTCAGTTTACAGTAACCTACAGAAAAAAGAAATATTTCAAACCATGTGTCCTGCCTGCTCCTGTTTTAGGTCCGATCTGGCTCCTGTCAGTTGAAGACTTGTCCAAACATGAGGTGTCTGGAGACTCGAACTGGCCAAACTGAATGTGTGAAAGGTAAATGTGCTCATGTAAAAGTTGAATCACTATCGACATTAATCCTCTTCCATTTACATACCTTTAATAAGCCACTCAATGATTATTTAGTCTATGCTGCTGCGTTGTTCAGTTGAACACTTGACTTTCCTTTGCATGTGTTTGTGACAGATAAGTTCACATGGTATCGCAACAGTCCACTATTTAATAGTGGTTCATAAATAATGGACACAAATTTGTTGGAATAGCACATTGCAACAGGGCAAGTAGTCATCCTACAGATGGCATCCTTAACTTGTCTGCTGGGATAAACCTCATGTGTACAACGAGCTCGGTATCGGATCAGGTGGTCCGTGTCTCAATTGCAGTTAAGGGAAGAGGAAATTTGTAGTCCGTTACACAATGTTATAGAAAAGGTTTACCTGCATTAACATTATAATGCAACTACAAGTGAGTTTGAGATCGAAAAACTAAAGCATACCATCGTTTTTATCTTTTATGTGCTGAAGGACAGTCATGAGAGTCGATGTTAGAGTCTGTGTTGGACATACTTTTTTACAGCATGGCATGGCTGAAGGATCGCCTTGGGATGTCTGTACAATCTCTTTTGCATGACTTGGCTAACAATACAATTCACGTGGTACTCGGAATATCTGTACTCGATCTTTTTTTCAGCTATCTATGTCTGTACACTTTTTATTATTTTCTGTTTTAAGAAGTCTCTAGTTCTGGTGTTTTTATTGTTTCGTTGGTTCATTCATTCCTCGTTTGTAAGTTTGATTTGAAAAATAAATACATTATGTTTATGTAAATTTATTTATGTTTATTGCGAATAATGAAGATAATTCTTCAATGTGTTTAGAATTAGCCTCATATATCTTCACCCTGATTACAAATAGCACCTTATCAACAGAAATTGTAAGGATGATGCTTACACAAACAGCTTCAATGTCATTCCTGTTGTTTTTCCTTGAAAATAGAAAGTAATTGTAAAATTATTAAATGGAGTTACTCTTGCTGGAGTAACTCCTGTTAGCCAGTATATGATCTTTAATGTAAGCGATCCCACCCAATGCTGGGCTAATAAGTGACTTCCATTGGAATCACGCAGATATTGCGTTTGTCCAACTGTTTTAAGTAGCAGCGTCAACAAATTTAAATCTTAAATCCTTTTCACTTCTAGTGGGGTTTTTTACGTTTTCTTTTGTTGAAGAAAAATATAATTAAGGTGTTGGAGATGGTAATACATGCTTTTTACATATACGCTATTATTTTTCTAGGATATGACGTTTTTGTGGTATTAAAAGAATGATTTTATGTCTTACTTCAGAAAACTGGAATGACACTGAATTTAACACAACTCTCCTCGATGCCTGCATTGGTGGAGATTTGGCCCGAGTCAAGTTCATTTTGTCTGATGGCCGTGCAGATATCAACTCAGTGGGGAAGGACAACATGACACCAGTGATGCATGCAGCAAAGGAGGGACATAGAGAAGTGTTTGACCTACTTGTGAGGGGAAGGTGCCAACCTGTCTTTATTGGATGATGGAGACAAGAACATTGCTCATTTAGCTTGTATTGGGAAGTGTTGAAATCGTCAAATATGTCTTAACCCAGAATGTTGTGGGCGTCAGCAGTCGAGATCACGACGGATTGACACCAGCAATGACTGCAGCTTTATACAAAAGAAAAGATGTGTTTGATTTACTTGTGGAAGCAGGAGCAGATCTGTTATTGGTGAATGAGTTCGGAGGAACCATACTTCATGTGGCCTGTGAAGGGGGTAATGTGCAGATAGTCAAGTATCTCATGAAACATAACATTGTGGACATTGAAAGTCGAGACATGAACGGTTGGACACCAGTAATGCAAGCAGCCATTGATGGACATAAGGATGTGTTTGACGTTCTTGTGAAGGCAGGAGCAGATCTGTCACAAGTGAGTAATAACAAAGAAACCACCCTTCATTTGGCCTGTGTTGGGGGAAATATTGAAATAATCATGTACTTCATGAAATATGGCATTGTGGACATTGACAGTCGAGACATCAACGGCTGGACACCAGTAATGAATGCATCCAGTGCTGGACATAAGGACGTGTTTGACGTTCTTGTGGAGGCAGGAGCAGATCTGTCACAAGTGAGTAATGAAAAAGAAACCATCCTTCATATAGCCTGTCGAGGGGAAAATGTTGAGATATTCAAGTACCTCATGAAACATGACATTGTGGACATTGACAGTCGGGATATGGACGGTTGGACACCAGTAATGAGTGCAGTCAGTGATGGACAAAAGGATATGTTCAAGGTCCTCGTTCAAAAAGGGCAGATCTATCACAAGTTAGAGATGATAAACAAACCATCCTTCATATGGCCTGTGGAGGGGAAATATTGAAATAATCAAGCATACCTCCTGAAGCATACAACTGTGGACATTGACAGTCGAGACACCAACGGCTGGACACCAGTAATGCAAGCAATCAGTGCTGGACATATGGATGTGTTTGACGTTCTTGTGGAGGCAGGAGCAGATCTGTCACAAGTGAGTAACAAGAAAGAAACAATCCTCCATATAGCCTGTGGAGGGGAAAATGTTGACATAGTCAAGTACCTCATGAAACATGACATTGTGGACATTGACAGTCGGGATATGGACGGTTGGACACCAGTAATGAATGCAGTCAGGGATGGGCAAAAGGATATGTTCAACCTCCTCGTTTCAAAAGGGGCAGATCTATCACAAGTTAGAGATGATAAACAAACCATCCTTCATATGGCCTGTGGAGGGGGAAATACTGAGATAATCAAGTACCTCCTGAAGCATACAACTGTGGACATTGACAGTCGAGACACCAACGGCTGGACACCAGTAATGCAAGCAGCCATTGATGGACATAAGGATGTGTTTGACGTTCTTGTGAAGGCAGGAGCAGATCTGTCACAAGTGAGTAATAACAGAGAAACCATCCTTCATTTGGCCTGTGAAGGGGAAATACTGAGATAATCAAGTATCTCCTGAAGCATACAACTGTGGACATTGACAGTCGAGACGCCAACGGCTGGACACCAGTAATGGAAGCAGCCAATGCTGGATATAAATATGTGTTTGACTTACTTGTGAAATGGAGCGCCGATCTGTCACTACTTGATGATGATAATGCCAACATCCTTCATTTGGCCTGTGAGGGAGACGTTGAGATAGTAAAGTACCTCACACTTCTTAATATGTTTGATATAAACAGTCGGGATGGGGACGACTGCACGTCAGTAATGATTGCAGCACGGTGGGGACACATGAGGCCATCTTCTTCTTACTTGTTGAGAATGAGGCTGATCTAGCAATTATGAATGATATTGGTGATAACATCCTAAATATGGCTTGTAAAGGAGAAAATGTACGTATAGTGAAGTATGTTTCCACACGACACATTGTTGAAGGGCCGTACAGGGAGGACGATCCATGTTGAATGCAGTGTCTAACATATGTAAAGAAATGTTTTAGAAAAGATATCTTTCGTCGTTTTTCCTGATTAATCAATACTGGACTTCGGTGTTGACATTCAAATGGGTATTAATCATCAATGCCGTGAATAGGCACATCAATGGGCACCAACTGTGCTTCTCACTTGGATGATTTACTTCTTTGCGCACATAACTGGTTGGATTTCAAAATCATTTCACATGACTTCAATATTGGCTATAGTGATGAGCTGATATATTTAAATGATTTGTCACATTTATATTTGAGCAGGAACATTCAAAACTTCTCAGAATGATATGTATTTACCAATCACTAATTCCCCGCAACGGTTTGTAAAAGGAAAGTTCACGTTTGGTAATTGGGTATGACAAAATAATGGCTTACTGACTAGTGTTGTAAGAATTACAGATTTGTATCATATCCATTTCAGAAACATGTCTCTCAATTCTTGTATTTCCCAAACAAGGATACATGCTAACAGGAGGTTAATATAATAAGTATGACATACATGCAAGTGTAATATTGTCTATATAACACATTTTATCTGAAAAGCTCCTTTGAGCTTCCTTTCAGAAAAATGCACCGATCACGATCAAATCTGTCTAAGGATGTTGACGATCCTCAGCTCTTACGCCATCACTCTGACCATGTCGCAATAAGATTTTATGAACTTGCTTATTTCCATCTAGTGTTTAATAAATGATTTTGCAAGCACGACATCTTTCAAGAACAGGTTTATGGCAACGAAAAGGAAATGCATTGATATTTATATAGAAGGTGTCAATGGTACTCTTCATCAGTTGTGTTTTATGTGAAAAACTGTTTCATGTTTGAAAGTTTCCAAGGTATGTCTCCATGACTTGTAAAATAAACAATTATCCAGCCCATGTACCTTTGGTCCATCATCGGCCCGACATCGGCCCGACGTCGTGCAGCATTATGGGCAACATGCATGTGCATACACAAGCCAATACACTGTTATTAACATTAACTTTCCTTTTACGCAATGGTGTTTTGTCGTTTTGTAATATCAGTCATTTCGACTTAGTATGGTTTCTTTTGCCCGTTAGTTTAGTTGCTCACTTCATTTCTCCACGGTGAATACATATTTGATAGCATGTACCACAATTTATAAATGAATACTAGTTTATATGTGTATCAAAAAATATATAAATGTGAAAATACATCTCCTAAACATTTCATGTTTTTAAAACGTTTTATTTAATGAATTTGTATGGTTCCAGAAACAGTGTGTTCTATGAACGTTTAGTTCTAAAATTCAGTAACCACCAAAAAGCTTCTGAATGTTTATGTGAATGTTTATGGTTCAGGAAACATTGTAATAAAATTTTCTGTCAAGATGTGGTTTTAACTGTTCAGTAAAAATACTAACCGTTAATAATAAGGTTACATGTCTATGGAAAATAGACATTGTTACTCTTTAACAAGGAAACATAAAAAAAAGGATGACAGGGCATCTAATCAACACTTATTATTAATTTTTTTCTCAGAGATTACTTCAGAATCTTCTTCTTTGGCTTCGCCTTTACCCATTTTTCTGAAATAAAGAAAAATATATAGTAAGTGTATTATGTCAAACCAAGAGACAATAATCAGTTAATGAAGTCTTCCAGCACCTATGTATATGCAAGTGTTTGATGGACACCAGCACCCAATGGAAAATAATGGAAATCCTTGAATACCTAATTTGGTAATAGTATCAAATCACACTGAATAGCAACGACAACCCTATCTCTCTTGTTGGTCGGAGGCTGGGTGCAGGTACAAATCCAATTTTGCAATAAAAATCCAAAACGCCATCAACAAGTATATAGACAATGGCACTTAACAGATGCATTAATGTTTACAGATTCACAACTTCTGGATTTTTATGTAATCCTCAACAAATCCATCACTTCTGTTTGTATCTGCCTGAATTCTTGTGTCTCATTTTCGCCCTTGCTGCAACGAAAATAACAATGTTCCACATTATAACAAGTTACAAATTGAACTAGATTCCCCAAGCATATATAAGTCTTGTTAGTCCGATGCTTAAATATATTGTGTAATTGCTGGATTGCCTAACGTTTTGAGTTGGGTCTACGTGTGTAGATTTAACACCAACGTGTTAAAGTTGGATTAGAAAACTCTGCCCCTATTACAAGAAACATGGATTACTGGAGAGCGTTTCTATTATACTAACCTGGAATCCAAACTTGAATTGATTTAAATAGCTATTGTAACCAGCTACATGATTCACGTCTTAATCGCGGAGTGGGATTTCGTTGCGAGAATTGTAACCAGATTCGTTCAGTTTTTGATCACCATATTGTTTCTCATTGGCAAAATGTTTCGATGAACCAAGTGAACCATAAGAAATTTATTTGGTCCTACATTTCCTGAACAAAGACTAAGTAAACTGGAATAAATAATACAGTATCATGAAAAAAAAACATGGTGATCGAAGATGGAATGAACATTACCGAGGACCAGTCTTCGCTAACGCCCCGTTATAGCGCAGGAAAATTTATGGCACTCGTTTAGAAGGGAAATATACATATCCGAAAATGCTAATTGATTCGTTTTGGAAAAATTGAAGAATACACAATGTAAACACTTTACTTCAATGATAGAGATCTAGCCTTTTACTGAAAAAAAACGTGGGAATTTTAGACCAGCAAAACCACAACAACCGTGCAGATGATCAACATTTAGTTTAGTCAGGCTGAAGGGTCATTGTCGGCACAGGTACTACAGATACATACCCCTGGTTTCGTTTCCGTATAAAGAAATGTACCCTAAACAAAGTCAAAATAGTCATTTCCCGCGGTAACATTTCTTTCTTCGTGAATAACTTTAAAACCAACATTTTGATGCTTTAAATAGATGAGGGACATTGTTCAAACATTGGGACTATGTTTTAACAAAAATAGTTTTGATAAACCAATTTGAAACCTAATGAACATGTTTGGAAAATGTTATCTGTTAGCTGGGTTATATTGGCCCACTGTCGGCCCAGCGCTGTTCAACGATGCCGATATTAGCCGACGGTGCCGACTATCAGCCGACGTCGGGCCGATGATGGCATGCTACCTGGGAGGTTACAGGTTATCCTGTTTCAAACGTGCCTGAGTTCCACCGTCCGGTACGTCCAGCAATCAGATCGCCATAATGCTCCTCATGACTATCAATATAACACCCAGATGAAGACATGTGTGACCAAGCTTATCCGTCATCACTCAGTTCAACAACTAAGAATGCTGTGATATTTTAGAAGTTAAAACATATGAAGATTACAACTGTTACACCCTCTATACCTTTTAATGGATCAGTTTACTTAAACTCTTGAGCCTGATATTCACAAGGGTCATTTCAACTCTGAGTCAAGCAGGTTGTTGGAGTGAATATTGTGTCAATGTAGAGCGCTATATCCCAGACACCTCACAACGACCTGTTCATAATGCACGATGCTCATGCTGTTGATCACTGGGTTATTTACAGACCGCCGCCATACAGCTGGACTATTTGTGCGTGCGGAGTAAAACTAACTCACTCACTGCTCATAATGCAGCGCCATCCAAAACTTGTGTTGATGGTATGATAATCTGTAGCATTAGATCACATTCCACGCACACCCAACACGATCCTCAAGGTTCCAATTGTTCCAACCATGGGTAAATAGGTACCTATGTCACCCTTGAATTCCCCAAATTGAAAATATGTGGTAGTGTAATTATAATGAACCATGGACACAGCTGTACCGACGCAACATGTTACAACAAATCATGACATCCTATGAGATCATATATATTCAAGAGATAGGCATCATTGCAGATACGACTGAATGGACTAGGAAGCTTTGACTTTTGGAATACGCAATTATTAACTTAATGATACGCCTATCATCATTAAAGTGGTGTGCTACAAAGTGTATTCCCGATCAATAAAGGAGGGACACCGAACAGCTTTATGTCTACTTGCCTGGAAGGTGGAAATCGTCATTATCAGATGGTGACGATAAAGGAATTCGATAAACAATAACAGGAACCAGGCAGAAATGACTGACTTTCAGATTCGTTTGACACAATCTAAAAGGGAAGCTGATTTTCACTATGACAATATAAACATTCTCCATATGACATGTGAAGGAGGAAACAATGAGATAGACAAGGCATTTCTTCACAAAAGAAATGGTTGACATCCAAAGTGAGGATGTGGGCATGAGAATGCCGGGATTGCAAGGAATGCCAGTTGCTAGTTCCAAAAAGGGCCAATCAGATAGTATCCAGAAGATGCCGGCAATATCTTCCTATGTGCTGGAGGAGCTGTTGCGATTGTAAAATGTGTTCCCAAACAGAACCTCCCAGAGACCAATATATGAGAAAATTAAATGATGCAATTAAACAACATTGCTCACTGTCATGCTCTGATGATAATAATGCATTTCAAAACCTGTTTTTATTAGTTTCACTGGGCGATACATATTTTGAGAGTATAAATATGTAGGTTAGATCTACATTCATCGCACACTCGTCCACACGCATGCAAACGTCCACACATGTACATGCATATATAAAGTATTTTGAGAGTTACGTATCTGCTTTCCAGAAGCAGGCCACACACAGCAGTAGCAGGGAAAATGTATCATTCCGAGAGATCGATTCGTGAGTGTGGCAAATATTAATATCAATATTAAACATCACCTACAGTTAACAATAATTCGTTAATCTTAATGCAAAATCAGAGAATGTGTTTCTTTGCTATTTTGGGCTATCTTATGGTGCTTTTATGTTGAAATCGTCGAAATCGTCAAACAAGATAAAGTTGAATGTCTCATAAGAAGCTGCGTTCATTGAACTGCCACTTTACAAAGTCAGTTGAAAGTCTTTGATGTCCTTTCGAACTGCTACAAGCATAATAACAATAATAATAACAATCTCGTTACACACACTGTTAATAAATAAAAGACCAACGATGTCATGAAAGGGGTGCATATTTAATTCTTGTCTTTGACGTTTTAGTGTTTCCAGTTCTACCACATGGAAGATAAGTTTTAGTTAGCAAATGTTATGTGAACAGCAAGACGACAAAGTGGTATTTAGTCAATCAGGAGAACACAGACGGTTAGAAGATATTTCAATTTTGTTGTCTGCAACATTTCATTTTTCCTGTTCTACCACATGGAACACGTTTTCTGTTGTTAGCTAATATAGCTGTAAAACAACACGACACAGTGGCGTTTTGTCAATCTTGGGAATATGTTCCTAACTTTAATATCGAGCCTCACGTTTGATGTGGTTATTTGTCAACTGCCAGCTACGTCTACCTATAGTTCGGTAGTCTTCAAGAACATAGGCATCAAGTTATGTCAATACAAATGTATACAAAGTGTCTTCTGTCGAGCTCTTGAATACACTATTCAAACCCTCACTTGTCAACTATCAGAAATGGATCATGATACTACTGCAAATGAGACACAGTCATTCATTGGAGCAAAGGACCTAGTAGATGTAAGTTTTTCCGTGTTGTTTGTGATGAACGTTGTCGTTCCTCATTGAAGCTATCATTATCTATATGTGTGCGAAATAATGAGGCAACTATATGTCAAATCTAACATTCGATTACATCAATTGGAAGAATCCCATCCTGTCCAAGCCAGTTGTTTGCTGTGTTCCACGTGACAAGACCTAAAAATTAAATTTCTAAGCTTCCTTTAATTTTGTTGGTCCTAGACGCCATCAGGAGAAAACTTGGCTACATGATGTGTCTGCATTATCAAATTTACACGTGATTTTCCAAACATGAGAACGTGTATAATATTATTTCCATTTATCGACGTACCTCTCACACTCCGTCACACCTAATAGTCAGCTTATTGCCCTCGTAAAACTGCAATGTTGAGCATGCAATATATAAAATGAGACCGGTAATTTGAGGACACTAGTACTGTTAAATATCAACACTTCTTTTGACCTCGACCACGGAAAGCTTCTGATCATCTGCAAGTAGGAACTGAAGGAAGTGACCGGAAGTTGTTCATTTACCACTTCTCCGGCCACCACAATCGGTTAACACCAAAATATCAAACAGAATGGATCTGACCTATTTTGTCAGTCAGTCAGTCAGTCATCCAGCCCTTTATCTCCTTGACATGGGTCGTCCAGATAACAAGTATCCGGATGCAAATGCCATACACATTGCTGGCAATTACAAATCGTGTTGTCTGTTTGATCTTTCAACTGGACAAATTAACTGTTTTTATTGGTCCGAACTAAGATGACGCACAAACGAAAATCCCCAAACAGCGTAAATATTTTGAAAAGGGTTACCACTGAGACTTAAAATCATAAACAATGAGCACATATTGCCCATGCATCACAGATATCCTTTACATTGCTGTGTAAAATAAAATGAAAATCAGGATTTTGCTGAGTCGCACATGCATGTTGTGTGGCAACAATGAAAACCACAGTCCAACTGAGACTGTTAGTGATAAACATGTTAAAGGCACACTTGAAATGCCAAGATTATCAGCAGCAGAGTAAGCACGAGCCTATGCAGATAGATGTTTCAACATGCCACATTGACCATGGACTCGTGGGTGGAAATGGCACAGTGGAATAGTCTATTGTTAATACCGTCAGGATCAGCAAAATAATGTACCGAACATCATTAGTAGGAGATGAACCAATATTGGCTAGATAAATAAACGAATGGATGACATAATAAGATCAAGATATATATCCTACTTGCTCATGTTTTAGGTCCGAGCTGGCTCCTGTCAGTTGACGACTTGCCCAAACATGAGGTGTCTGAAGATTCGAACTGGCAAAACTGAATGTGTGAAAGGTAACTTTCGCACCATGTAAAACTTTCTTGAAACAAAATAAACTGATCTGCAAAAATCGTACGTCGGCATTCACACTTTTCCATTCACAAATTTACATCCAGCTACACTATGATATAACTATAACTATACAATAAGATGCAGAAGGTGGTAATATATTGATTTTTTAATTCAAACTTTTCTTGGATATTTGTTTTTCTGTGCTGTCTGATAATTTCATATCTTCCTTTTAGAGAAACGGAATCCGACGCAACCGTATACTGAATTGAACACTTCTCTCCTCGATGACTGCATGGTTGGAGATGTGGCTCGAGTCAAATTCATTTTGTCTGATGGCCAGGCAAATATTAACTCAAGATGGAAGACCAAAATGACACCGGTGATGCATGCAGCTGAGGGGAACATAAAGAAGTGTTTGACTTACTTGTCAGGGAAGGTGCAAAACTGTCCTTATTTAATAATGCAGGGGAGAACATTCTTCATTTAGCTTGTATTGGGGAAGTATTGAAATCGTCAAGTATGTCCTCACACAGAACATTGTGGGCATCAACAGTCGAGATTCGCCGGTTGGACACCAGTAATGCAAGCAGCCAAAGATGGACATAAGGATGTGTTTGACGTTCTTGTGGAGGCAGGAGCAGATCTTACACAAGTAAGAAGGAACAAAGAAACCATCCTTCATTTGGCTTCTGGAGGCGGTAATGTTGAGATAATCAAACACCTCCTTTCACATGTCAGCGTGGATATCGACAGTCGAGATGTGGACTTTTGGACACCAGTAATGCATGCGGTCCATGCTGGACATATGGATGTGTTTAACTTTCTTGTTGAAAAGGGGCAGATCTATCAAAAGTGGACACTGAGAAAAAAAAGAAAAACATCCTTCACGTGGCCTGTGCAAGAGAAAATGTTGAAATAATCAAGAACCTCCTGAAACATGACATTGTGGACATCGACAGTCGAGATAAGGACGGATTGACGCCAGTAATGTATACAGCAAAGGACGGGTGTAAAGATGTGTTTGGCGTACTTGTGAAATGGGGAGCTGATCTGTCACTATTGGATGATGCTAATGACAACATCCTCCATTTGGCCTGTAATGGAAACAGTGTTGAGATTGTTAAGTACCTCCTCTCACACAACATTGTTGATATCGACAGTCGGGATAGGGAAGAATATACGCCTGCAATGATTGCAGCATGTCAGGGACATGAGGCTATCTTCTTCTTACTTGTTGAGCATGAGGCTGATCTAACAATTATTAATGATGTTGGTGATAACATCCTAGATATGGCTTGTGAAGGAGGAAATGTACATATAGTGAAGTATGTTTCTACACGGTACATTTTGAGGGGCCGTACAGGGAGGGCGATCCATGTTGAATTGAGTCTCCATAATCTGTACAGAAATGTTTTAGAAAAGGTATCTTTCGTTTTTCTGATTAATCAAGGCTGGCATTCGTGCTGATAACATTCAAACGAAATAGGGTATTAATGAATAATGCCGTGAATAGACACATCAATGGGCACCAACTGTGATCCCCACAATATAATTCTTTGTGCACATAACTGGAATTTCTGGTTGGATTTCAAAATCATAACACATGACTTTAACTTCAATATTGGGTTAAGTGATGATCTGATCTATTTCAATGATGGTCCTTTTCATATTTGAGTATGAACATTCAAAACTTCTCAGAATGAGGTGTATTTATCCATCACTTATTCCCACAACGGTTAGTAAAAGGAAATTTCTGGTTTGATAATTGAGTGTGAAAAATAATGGTTTACTGAAGAGTCTGTAAGAAATAGAGATTTGTATCATACTCATTTCATAAAACATCTCTCTCAATTCTTGTATTTCCCAATCAAGATAAATGCTTACAGAAGTTAAACACAATCAGTATGAAATACATGCAAGTGTAATAATGTCTTTATAACCCCTTTGTCTGAATCCTTTTTGAACTTCATTTTAGAAAAATGCACCGAACACGATCACAACTGTCGAGATCATGTTGACGATCTTCATCTCCTACGTCATCACTCTGGCTATGTCACAATATGATTTTTCAATATGATTTTTCCTTTGTGTGTGTAATAAATGAATCTGCAAGCACACGACTCCTGACATGTTTCAAATACAAATGTATCTCAAGAAAAAGCAATTGTATTGATATTTATATACGAGATGACTCCGTGACTTGTAATTGAACAAATAGCCAAGTTACAGGTCATCCCTGTTTTCAAACGTGCCTGCTTGACATCGTCCCGTACGTCCAGCTATAGCAGCGTATGGCCGATTCAACAGATACTTGCAATTGAGACTTATTCATTAAACAGTATCCAAACTGGATTAATGCTAATATATAGGTAGATTCCTGTCTTTACGGAATTGGGTGAAAGCGTCCTTAATGTCATAACTCTCCTCATGACTAACGATATAACACCCAGATGAAGATCATATGTGACCAAGGTTATCTGTCCTATTTTAAAAGTTAAAACATTAGAAGATCACAACTTTTACACCCTCTTAACCTTTTAATGCATCAGTTTAATTAAACTTTTGTGCCTGATATTCACACAAGTGATATCAACACTTCGTCAAGCAGGTTGTTGGAGTAAATATTGTGTCAATGTACCTCACAACGACCTGTTCATAATGCTCGATCACAAGGGGTATATATATTTCTAAGTTTCAACCTTAAAAGTATCAGTTCTCATTTATTTATTTTTTTTTTTTTTAATAAGAAATTGACTTGATTGATAAATTTCGATGTGTTTGGGGATATTTTATAGATACAGGGAGATTGATTTTCCTTGATTTTCCTTGATCTAGATTGAATAAGTATGTGATAATCTAATAATTTCACTGTCCTTTGTTCACAAGGTTATATAAACCACGTGTATTTATCATGAGTTTAAAGACTAGCTTTAGTCACGATATGGCTGAAGTATTGCCGATGTGACTTAAAATCTTTACTCACTCACACTTATTTAATTATAAATTAATTCTTCATATAGTGGATGCTGAATCACTTTAATGAAATAGATAACACTCTGATGTAGATTCTCTACATTCCTACTCATTCCTGGTGGTATGTGAATTGACACTTTATCTACATCTTTATCTATGATGTTGTCCAGTATCTGTTATCATGTTCAATAAAGATTTAAATGTCAATTTTGTTACGAGCGAAAGTATCAGAAAAATCTACATGAAAGGTTATACGTGGAAGATTTTCATAAAAAACTCTATTCTTATATTCAACACATTAACTCAACAGCCTCCAGGTTTTCATCAGAACTAAAAAGAGATGAAATGTTTTACTTTTACACACAACTTTAGACACAGGTTTCAAAGTAACTTTGATTTTGAAGCGTCTTTTTCAAATGAGCACTCCCAAGTTGTAAAACTGTTTTGTGAATTCAAGATGTGTTTTGATGAAATTGGTACCAAAACAAATATTGTCAAGCCTGCCCTCATTTAATTCTGCGCTAACAATATTTATATGTGCCACATATGCTGCAAATGTTCAATAAAGGGCATCATTGCAAATACGACTGACTGGACTCCAAAGCTTTGACTTTAGACTGGTTTATATTGATCATAATCTGAGGTGTCATAATACCCATGAGCAGTATGTTTGACAAAATCATACTGTGGTCAATATTAATGTCGTGCTTGTTATGAAAGAAGGAGTAATGAACGTGTAAATATAACTAATTCAAAATACAGGTTGTTAAATAGTCTAGTTGAAATGTTAATTAATCAACTTGATTAATGTGTTATGCATTGCAACGAATAACTCCTCTTCAACTGGTTTTAGACGATGTTGATTTAAAATATGGAAGTTTATAAATCTCGAGGTCAAGTGAATGACTTTTTATGCTGGCGTCCCACTTCAGTACTAAGTTATTTGTAGCATTTAGAATGGCCTATATTGCTATTGATTCTTGTATTTTGTTGCATTTAGATAGAAATGTTTAATGACTTCAGTTGTCCATTACTGTATGTATTTCTCATGCCTTGTTCTACCTTTCACATATTAGGACACAACAATCCGGACATGTCTATGTTTCATATTAATTCTTTATTTTATTTTAATAATACAAGAAAATAACGGCAACTCAAATATGGATTAACATAGCAATAGCATTTCAATTGAGTGTGAAGTTACAAGGGGCGATAAAGTACGACACAGTCAATAATTATGCCCAACAATATAACACGAACACTTACTCAGAATATGAGTCAATAGAAATCGATTTTTTGAGATACAGAAAGGCCAAATTCAGGGATAAAGGCTTCGCTCATGCTGAAGAATGATGACAATTGTTATGGATATACAACTTCTTAGTTCTGTGAAGGGCGACGTTTCGACATAGATACATGACTTGTTATTACAGTAGATTGGGATGAGTTGTTTATTGCAATGAACAAGGTTGATGTACAACGCTTGTATAGGAGATTGAGGAAGTGATTGGAAGCCAGTTAGGTGACATACAAGGATTTAATTAAATCTTACACAAATGATGGAAAGACAGGTAAATGTTTATACAATGGATGGGGTTGATGTACATAGCGTGCATGATAGCTCATGCTCACAAGAAAACTCACCGGATTAGAAGAAGTGTCATAGTGTCATATCAGAATTTATAGAAGTAGTGTATGGAACTTGGTGATATGTGAAACATCACAGTAGAACACTTCCAGTACACAGGGACACCGAACAGCTTTATGTCTACCTGCCAGGAAGGGTGGAGATCGTCACTATCAGATGATGCCGAAAAGGGCATTGATACACAATTACAAAACAAGCCAGAAAAACCTTTGAGTTTATTTAACGCTCTTAAAAGGGAGGCTTGATATACCACTATGACAATATCAACATTCTTCATATGATGGAGGGAATATTGAGATAGTTAGAGGTTAACCTCACATGAGAAATTGTTGACATCAAAGTAAAGATTTTGGCAGGGAAAATGTCAGTAGCACCAGGTCTGGTTTGACATGTTACTTTTAAAATTATCAACACGACAACATTGACTGATGCCTGCAATATCGTCGAACACATGTGTTGTAAAATGTGTTCTGGTACAAAACCTTCCATAGACCAGTAAAATAGGCAGTGCTGCAATTAAACAACCGATGAGCGCAAGCCCTTGGTGACTTGGGGACTGTTTGAGTTTCTTGAAAGTTGCCCATCTGTGTTTACGAATAAACACAGCATCTATCGTTTGGCTTCTACAGCTGTTGATAAATCCTTTGAAGTGATACGGTAGATATTCCACTATCAAGAATAAGTACGAATGATGTGCATCAAAATTGTCCGAGAATATGGTAAATGTTCTCTTTTCTATCATGCACATTCCTGTGAAGTTACATTCTGTATTGTACTGATATACCGTTTTAGGCCGCTTGTTTGTACAGTAGGAACGGAAACACATCTTGTTCTTATTGCGTATTTGTTTTATCCATGCTTTTCATCGATGTATTGAATGAATGATAATGATATTCTTAACCTTCTTAAGTGTGTAATTATATCAAAATATCTTTTATTTCGTTTCAATGCATTTCGGCTATGACTATTCTCTGAGTATTGTAACAGGATATTGTGTTGATAGCATTTGCACACTTTTCTGATCACACTGTTTACAACTATGCACTGGACAACCCACTCAACCTAGCTCGGATTAGATATTTACTTTATATTTTTTTACCTGAAGAGAATTCTAACCTATCGATTGAATATGCTATAAATGAATATAAAATATTGTAATTATTAATATTTTATATCAAGTAGCCCATATGGCTTTTAATATATCTGTATGAATTTCATCTGTATGTATGTGTGAGAACATGATTTGATTGGTAGGTTTGAATGTAATGCTGAGTAAGAAGTTTCTATAATGTAATGTCGCCATAATAAGATATTGTCAGTATTATTTGTTTTAGAAATGTGACACTCCCGTACTTAGTGTGAGTATATACCCCAGTGTCACCCACAGGATCTGTAAACATTGTTTGCTATTTAATTATCTACTTGTGATTTAAGTATCACACCTATGATCATTAGGTTGATTATTTATATGATAAATTACAACAACTATGTAGTGTTTATGTATTAGTAATAATAATAACTATAAGGTTTGTGTAACTGTACGTGTTGCATGTTTAGGATAATGTATATTATACTTTCCTCCTGGATGACTGACTGATCAAGTCATCGATGGATACTGTGGAATAAATGTCACCATCCATGCCGTAACATACAAGTCACACTGGCAGCTAGTCATCTTTATTGACTCACACACTGCAACAGTATTGTCGTACCATGAACGGTTATGGGTTTTAATTTATACCTTCATGTCAGTATGAATATCCGTGACCATTACCCTGCAGAGGCGTATCATACAGCCCACAATGTCACATATTGCGTTGTGTTTGTTTGGGTTGGTTGTGGTTTAACGCCGCACTCAATCAATATTGCGTCAAAATGGTGTCTGTCTGTAAATGAAATAGTGAGGACCAGACAATCCAGTGAACATCGATCTACGCAAATCAATATACGTAAATGGAATAGGTTGACATGTGTCACCAAGTGCTACTGCCTGACAGACCCGATCCCATTAGTCGCCTCTTACAAATGATAATGTATTTAGAAATATATATTTTAGTTGACGGCATTCTGCAGCTAAGAGACGTTTAGGAATTTGAGAGATTTCATCCTCAATGCTATTCTCTGATGATGAAAATGCATTTCAAACGCTGGAGATGCATGTGTTTAGTATCAATGTTCAGAGTTGTTTATACGCTTACAAAAGCAGGCTACGCAAAACAATAGCCGTACAAGTGCATGATGATTATTCTGAAAGATCGAAGAACGACTGATGCTTTTTTTATTCATATTTAACATCACTCACAGTGAACAATGATTCCTTTATCTTAGTGCCAAAATCAGTGTTGGTATATCTTTGGTATATTTGCTATCATATGGCAATTTTGTGCTCGAAATACCCGCAAGAGATAAAGCTGACTCTCTGATACGAAAAAGTTTATTCTTTGAGTGGGCACTTA